GCAGGCCATGAAATCTTGTAGAAGTAGAAATCTCAGCAGTAAAATATCCAGCTCAGACGGTGTTTGAGTGCAAAGCAAATCACAGGTGCAATAAACTGCGGCAGATTGAAGCATCCAGAAGGTGAATAAGATAACCAGTATAGTACCATCCAAGCATTCAAACAGTGCATAACGTTCAGTGAGTAAATGTTGACTTCTGTGAAAACAAATGTCTAGATTTATCTGGTGCCGTACAAAGGATGAATAAACCTTTTTTCTAGAACAGGGGAACAGTGTATGGAAAATTTTCTAAATATTACCATCTAAACTTTGAAATATTTGTATGGTCAGGATGTGTTTCGAGCATAGTTTTGTTTTCCCTTCTCTTCCCTGCAGTACTTAAAGGTGTGGAGGGGAACACTGGTAAATCTGCCTTTTTCTTCTGAGCATTTTTCCTTCAGAAACCCTGTAGCAGCACTGGTATATGCTTTTGCTAAGACATCTCTTCCACCTTTCATACCCTGTTGAAAAAGCTATAAAATTAGATGCTAAAGATATTATTTCAAAGTTAATAAGACTGTTGAAATCAACTATGTAGTTGTTGACGTAAGCTTAACAAACTAGGTAATCTGTTCCAGATCTCAGATGGTGGTTCTTGAAGAAAATGAACAATTAAACCTTGCTGATTCATTGCAGTTTTTTGGTTATTAATGATTCAGGATTTTGGCTTTAAGATAATGACATTTTGAATGTGTATGTACTAAATGCTAAATAAGTCAAGACAAGTGAATTTGTGTGTTACTTCTTGATAGTTTCTTATGTTTCAAAAAAAGAGAGCAATTTCAACTATTTATAAACTGTAGTTAAATTTCTTTACAACATGACTCATTTGCAACAAGTAAGTCCTTTTTCTTTTGCTTTCTTGTGAACTGTGTGGGAAAATTAGGGTTCAATCACCAAAGAATTTAACCAATGCTTAATTACCCAAAACAGCCCTCCAAGTTCTGCTCATGTGGAGCTTTCATAAAGATGTGATTTTCTCTGCGCTATGGCTTTCTAAAACTTGACTTTTAAGAAGGGATCTGTAAATTGTAACATGGGAGAAAGTAGTGTTTTACTGTTGTATTGGCTTCTTTCTTCCATCTGTTTCTTTGAGCTCTTCTTATGTTAATAGTGTGATGCTTAGGAAAGCCAAAGTCAGAAATCATCGGGATTAAATTACTTTGAGTATGGAACTGAATTAGAAAGCTTTACTTTCCTGAATGAGCTAATTGTTTAAATTTTCCAAAGGAAATGTTTCTATTTCTGTGAGAGAAGGGGTAAATGGGACTTCCTCTGACATAATTCTCATTTTAAAGTGTAGTTTGACAGCGAGATTTTTACCTTCCTAACCAAATATTACTGCTTGACTGCATGACTTGTATAAGCTTGCTAGTTGAAGTGACTCACTTACGTAGATGAAGTTATTTTTAGGGAGATAATTTGCACTGTTTAGAAGAGAAGAAAAAAGGGAGAGAGAGTCCTACTAAGAGCTAGATGCCTCATTATAGTTTACAGAGCTCGTGAACCCAACATCCAAGCAAAAGATGACTAAGCAAGGGGTCTATTGGTACTTTCAGGAATTTACAGACGTGAGTCATCTGCTTATTTTCTGCAGACATATCACCAGGGTACTTTGTGAGTCAGCTGTTATTTGGAAATAGTACTTGTATTCAGTATGAATATGTTTTTGTACTTAGGTAACTAGCATGCCAAACCAAAGCAGGCTTTTATAGTTTGCTAGTTCAGTTGTTGATTTACAAAAGCAGTGTGTTGTTTTTAACTGTGATACATTTTTCATTACAAAGTGTAAATGTTGTCCAGGATATAATTATGATAACACTTACCTTTGCCACCTCACATATCGCATGAAAGCAGATCTGATTTTGTATTAATGCACAGACTGAGAGTCAGATTGCCTATGTGACCAGGTAACAGGAAAAATATTCTTTATCAACCTTTGCAACTATGACCAGAATTTGATCTTTTAATTTCAGACCACCTTTCTACTGTTGATTACCAATGGTATTTGCTTATTTTTCATGTGCACTCCACACTCCCACACTCCACCCCAAATTGAAGCATTCTGTGCACTCACAGTGTCAATGGATGGGCATCCACTGCGACGGAAGTGAGTTCTTGCCTTCCCTTCCTACTGCTGAAATAATAGCTGGCTACCTTGAGATATGTATAACACTTTGCAACTCAAGGCTGTTTCCTGTTTACTGGTCTTTTAGGTGTGGTTGTGTTCCAGAATTAGGGACAGGTTTTTTTACTTGGTCTGGGCTCATCACACATCTTGTATTAAGGAAACACTTGGGTTAGAAAAATGTGAGTTTGGGGATTTTAGGTGAAGGGTAGTATTAGAAATCAAAGGTAGGTCAAATTTCTCAGAATTTTACTTGCAGTTCAGGATGATACTGCTGTTGGCCAGATGTAGGATGTACAATTTTAAATCTGATTATCTGATTTAACAGTTTAAGTAATTCCCGAAAATTCCTATGCAGGTTTTGGTTAATAAAAGAAGAAAATGTTTTCTGTTACATTTCGGTGATACCAGCGTTGGAAAAATATTTTTATAAAAGAAAGGCTTCTTGTAACGAATGGAAGTGTCTCTGTAGTGATAGCAATGTCTTTATTATTCATTTAAACAGCATTTCTGCTGGTAGATACTTTCTCTTAAGTGCAAACCTTTAATTTTAGGTAACAGGAAGAAAACTGCTGCTGCTTGCCCTGGTTATGTAGACAGAGGTTTTCAAAGGAAAGTTAATGCAAGTTTGAGATTCTCAAGTAAAAGGTTAAGTATAAGGACTGAACTGTTACTCGAGTGTTTTGCTAAAGGTTGTTATTCCTTTCACACAGTGATAAAATACGCAAGTCTACAGAGTAGTTTTCCTTTAAGGAAATAGTACATAAGAAAGAAGAACAGAGTTTAAGCACTCAGAACTGAAGAAGTGTTTTTATAACGTTAAAACAGAGAGCCTGTCTCCTTGCTTCATACTCTTCCATGGTGCCGTCCTTCTGAGGCTGTGGCACACGCGTACCGTTTGCAAGGGGAGGAGACAGCTTGCTTGTTGATAAATGGCCTCGATATGCCAATGTTTTTCAGGGTTGTTATTTAATAATCATGTTATAAAGAGGAATTTGACAGAGCAATCTTTGAGTCTAACCTTTGTTACAGTGGTGATCTGCCCTCAAATTAGCAGAACTCTACCCATGTCATTACTGCTTAAGTATCTGCTGGAAGCTGCTGCGTGAGCTGAGTCACCAGGACTCCGGGAGCTACCACGTGTAGCTCAGACACTGGGTCATGAACTGAGCAAATGATGTCGGCTACGGTGATCAGTTTTATTTTGAGACCACAGCTGGAATATCACGTTCAGTTTTGTGTACTTCATGCCTGCAAATGGTTTTGCTTCTAGAGCTTGGAGAGTAATTTAAGGAAAAAGGAGCTAGGTTTGGCTGGTGCTCTTCCAAGTATTCAAATATGATTAGAAAAATGGAAAAATGAAGGGACTAGCAGGATGACAGCATGGGATCTAGAAAAATAAAATCTGTCTTATGCTGATATCTCAGTCTATGAGCAGAGATTTCAAAGGAAGTGCTGGAATCTCTGTTCCATGAAGTTTTTAAAAGTAGAAAATACAGGACATTACCAAGCATACTGGAGGGGAGATACAGGACTAAAGCCTAAGGATGGCTTTAGTCCTGTAATGTTCCTTTCCCTTTCTTCAAATTCTGTTTGTACTGATTTGCCACTTGCTTTGATTCCTACTTTAGCTATTACAACCTGTCTTAACTTAGGAGTCTTGAAAAAGGACTGTGAAGTGACAAAGAGAGAATACTGAGAACCCAGGCTTATATGAATGAATTTTAATCTTATTAATTTGTTTCACTCATTGCTACACCACTAGGAGAAATTATATAAGATTTACAGGGAGCTACTGTTCCGTTGCAGTGTTCTTTCATTGTGCAGAATTAAGGAATTGTGATTTGGAGGTTAACAAAAAGTACAATTGTTGGTGCTTTATAAATGAAATCTATACTTTTAAAAGAAATGCACATTATTCTGTTAATTTTGGTGTTAGATTAGGCATTTAATGTAAGTAATTCAAATCTGTTGTCATAATTTAACTACAGATTTTTGAAGCCTCCTGAAATTAAAAGTAGACCAAGAAAATCTGCACTATAAATCTAGCAATTAAAATGTTAAAAACCAGTTCCTGACCATATTATTAAGTGTTGTAGACTATTTTATTGTTCTGCCAGACCTAGCTGATCATGAGACAGTGATAAGCAAAGGGAACTAAGAGGTTCTGATTTTTATTTTTAGGTAGATATTTTGGGTATTAATGACTTTGCAGTGTGTTTTTGGCTTTGTGGGGGTTTTTTTGTGTAGCAGATGATAGCGAGTTGAGATCTTTTCCAATTCATGTGACTGAATGTTTCTACATCCTTTATCAAATCATTTAACCACTTTAGGTCTCAAGACAACTGTAAAATTAGAATGATATTGTTTTTGATGTCCATGGGGGCACTAAAATGAGTTGGCTAAAGCATGTAAAGAGAAATTTGTTTCTTGAGTGGAAAGCATAAAGAGAATGTATTTTTGATTTTTTGAAAGGGAAAATTTAACTATAAAGGAAAGTAACTGCTGTTTTTCTATGACTAAATAATTATGGTATGAACATTATGATTAACGTAGAAATACACTAGCTAAACCGTTTTTTTTTAATTATACACTTTACAAAAATGTTTTGATAAAGCAAAGCATCCCATATAGCAGTATTGTGCAATCATTACTTACAAGAAATACGAAAGTGTATTTTAGAAGTAATCATTGATTTCTCCTTCTCTGTCACCTTTAAATCAATAGAAAAGAATGATATATTCCCAGTAAAAAAAATTTTTTTAAAAAATGCAATGGTGTATTTTTATGACTGTTTTTTTTATTTTTCTTTTTTTTTTTTTTTTAATTTCAGTTGATCTACCCCTGTACTTTCCTCGAGACCAACCAACCCTAACGTTTCAGTCTGTCTACCACTTCACTAACAGTGGTCAGCTCTACTCGCAAGCCCAGAAGAATTACCCTTACAGCCCCCGCTGGGATGGCAATGAAATGGCCAAGAGAGCAAAGTAAGTTAGATTGCTTTTTCCTGCTAAATATTCCATTTGTTACATGGTCATCTGTTGGTAGAAATTTCATGGATTTAACTGTACATTTCCAGCGTTATAACAGCTGAACCTGTTTTTGTTCTCATACAGTCCTAGCATTCCTGTATATGAGTATAGACAAGATACTTTATTAATCATGCTTACTACTTTAGTGCCAGAGGACTGATCAAAAGAAGACACTTTCTCCTAGGCGTTGTACAGGCACAGAGTGGTAACAGCCTCTGTGCCAAAGAACTTCCGATCTAAATAGACAAGATAGCTCCCAGCAAGAGTAATCTGCATTGCAGCAGTCAGTCAAAGTAACTCTGTGGTTTTGTGTGGGTGTCGGGGGCGACCCTGAAGGGAAGCATGTGAAATGGAGAGAGCAAGGAAGAAAAACTTGAAAGATGTGGAATAAGGCTGTAATAAAAAGACACTGAAGGATAGGAGGAGGTAGAGCAAAACCACCAGTCCAGCAAAGGAAGCAATCCTTTCAGAACTAGAGAAAGTTATCTGAAAGTCTAAATGGTTTGTTGGGTTTGGGTTTTTTTTTGCTGCTTTTTCTGTTGGCTAGGGAACAGAGGATCTGACTGTTTCCTCTGCAGTTTTTCTGCAAGCCCTGGGGACGCACCACTTCAGTCCAAGTATCCCCTTTAGAAAAAGATGACAGGACAGCCTCCCCTGAGTGATTCTGTTGCAAGGGCAAGTTGGTATGGGCACTGGTGCTCCTTTTGTGTATATTAGCCCTGTATTGTAGGGGATAGAGAGAGAGGATAATTTGTATATATACTATATATTATCCCCATATCCCTAGTATTATAATACTATATGTTATCTTCTAATGAAGCAAAACAGATTTCATCTGGATGGAGCAACACAGGCAACAGCCTTGCTGCAGTATTTTGATTTTTCAAAGTGTAAAAATGTTGGAACAGCAACAGATTTAAGCAGGCTGATTATCAGCAAGTAAAGGCATCAAAGTGCATAAATAGTAAGGCATATTGGGATGAACATTTTGAATGACAATCAGAAGATTAAATTAAATTAGCAAAGATGCGTAGATAAGAGTCAAATGAAAATAGTTCAAGCTGAGTAAATTAAATGAATGGCATGGTCAGAGACTGATTGTAATTTGGAAATGATGGAAGAAAACAACAATTGACTGAAGCGTTTGCAGTTTTTTATGATAATTTAAATTTTATAGGGAACATCAAGTGACATTTGATTTTGAATTTTGATGCACTGTCATAGAAATTTTTTTGCTAGTATTTGGTTTTATGACCATACTGTCTAGGAGAGCCATTTCTTGATGAAAGATTATTTTTTTTGTGTATGGACTTGTTTCTTTTCTCTAGCAGAATATTGGGAGTATTTTGTGGAGAGAAAAAAAAAAAAAAAAAAAAAAAAAAAAAACAACCGGGAGCATTTCTTGGGCTATAACTGGAAGCATTACTGTGGCTTTTTTTATGACCATACTACAAAATGCATTTATTTTGCAGCTGGAAGCTTACGAGTAACTATGTGCTGTCTGCTAAGTGCATTCATTTTTGAGTGGGTGTATACAAATGGACTTCTGTGCCCTGCACTTGAAATTTAGAAGTATTATAATGGTTCTTTTAAAAAACACTAAGTGTGTACACTTACTATCACATGTATGTTTTGTGAGGTTCACTCTTATGTTTGAGCCTTTGCATCTAAGTTTTACCCTGGATACGTAATAAGAGAAAAATGATGAGAAGTGGGGGAAGAAAGTATGCCACGATGTCTGAAATAACTGTTACTGAGCTGTGAAGAGACAGAAATGCTGCTCTAGTTAAAAGTGCTTTGCTTGCAGGAAAAATTAGTGATTCCTGAGTAGGGACCATAAATAAATCTGTATCAAGACAAGTATGATGCTATAATACATGTTAGCATATTTTAAGAAAGATTTTTAACACAATTGAGCAACTTAGGTAAATAATGTTTAAAATTTTGCTAGGGCTTCTTAGAATAGGTTGGTGTGTTTCAACATGACCAAACAATTTTTCATTCTACTTTATTTTTACTATATCTGCATTATGGACCAAGTATATGGGAATAGATGTAGATATATAGGAAAGAGTTATAATTAAATATATTAGTCCAAGCACCGTGTCAGAACATCCCAAATGAAAACAGAAAAGAACAATACGTGATTTAGCATCTGGAAACAATGAATGAAATTCTGCTCAGCTGAAGTAAGTTTAGGCCTGGATAAATCAGAGACAATTTGTTTGTGCTTCTAAATACTGTCCATTAGGTTTTGCTTATATGTAGTCTTTTTCCCTCTTAGCCAAATGGTCTCCCAAGTGCTTGGCATCCTTTGTGATAAAACAACTCTGTTTCTCTTTCTGGCCCTACTGTTCTAGGGCCACAGGATCTCCCACTTGACGTTCTAGTACGTGACCAAATTCTCCGCCCTTACTCTCAGACACTTGAGGGGTCAGTTTACACCATCTTCCTCGCTGTAGCTTAAGACACCATCAAGGATGGCTTTTGTTTGCTCTGGCACCAGCTGGGTTCATTAGCTGTTCAGTCACGTACTGAAGGAAGTATGTATGCCACCTTGCTTTAGAGGATATAGAAGCACCACCAGGTTTGAAATACTGTCACTCGGAGAGTTCCTCATCCGCAGATTTGGTGAGCCCTGCCTCTGTTTTCAGCAACTCAACATAGCCTGCTTATTCATGGGCAGAGCTGTCTTAAGTTCATGCCAAAGGGACTTTGATTCTGTGTCTAGCCTTCTCCCAGGGTAGTTTGGTGGGTCTGTTTATTTTTTTCAAACAGGTGAGCCCATCCAATTCCTTCAACTCAGGGACTAAACTTGAAAGTCTTGGAATCCTTGCTTATCTTTGTGGCCCCGGAGCAGAGGTAGGCATCTCGGAGCAGAGGTAGGCATCTCGTTTGAAGTTAGAACTTAACCCTTTGCTGTAGCCTTGAGACAATCAGTGGTAATTGTAAGTAGGAGCAAAATTACTCCCCTAAATACATACATATATAGAAGTAGATCATATGCATTCACATTTAGGCACATATCACCTAAATCTAAAAGGCAAATTCTCAATTTGGAGTATCAGTTTAGCAGTATCTTTTTCATTCACAGAGAAGAACTGCTTGTGTTCTTGCTGAAGTAATTGGACCAATATAGACCTGCCTGATAAGTCCACAAAATCTAGTTTCTCTTTCTCTGTGCCTTCTTAAGTAGTGTTTAAAATCATGTGGCACCTTTGAGGCCCACTGACTTAGAATCCTCTCTGAGAGATAGCATCTGGTAGTTGAAGGTTGCCATTGTCTTAGCCCAGGGATTACCCTCTGGCTTGATTTAATTCTAAGGGACGAATCAAGTCCTGATTAAATAATGTGATTAAGAATGCCTACAGTTTTCTTGTTTCTCAACTAAATGCAAAATTTTAAGCTGTTCCTCCAGCTAGAAACAGAGAAACCAAAAATATTGAAATTTTCTTACAAGCTGCCAAGATGCTGTTTCCTCTCAGTTCACATCTCAGGCTTTACCTCTCTTAGGTCATTTATTTATATGTCTGTGGCCTCCTGCATAAGCAGCTTCTTCAAAAGATTTGGTCCTAAAATACAATAGCAATCTTAAGAAAATACAGTAAATTATGGAAAGTTAGCAGCCTTGTTTGTGGTGTACGTGTGAAGTAAAACATCTCTGTGCGGTTTCCATGGGAAAGCTCTCTTGTATTTTGCTTAAGTAGGCATTCAAGTGTACATAAATGGAGTCTTTAAAGAACATGCAGACTCTAAGCTTGGGATTTTATGAAGGAACACTGTAAATAAAGCTTGTTTGTTTATACCAACTAAGTTCAGTTTTTAGATGCACTCTGGCCCAATTTCTGTCCAACCCAGTGCTGCTCTGTAAACTTAGGTTATGCTTCAGGGAGAGTAAGTCAGGACTCAGTTTACTCTTTTATCCTACATAAATCCACTTACTCATCATTAAAAATAGCAGGAGGATGTAAAACTGGTATAACAATAGGAAGTTGTTCCGAGGGTTCATACTCTTTTTTTCAAGGTGGCTGATAAAACTGGTTTCTGAATAACATTGTTGTCCCGGGCCATTCACCGGTGTTTGCTGAATGTGGTGTTAATTTTACATGTCCCTCAGGACACTGTAAGGGTGAAAGCTGAAAAAGGGCTCAAGTGCTCTCAACTGTATATTGGCTGTTGCCCTGACATAAGGTCAAGTGCAGTTTAAGATTATATGCAGACACATCTTGTGCGAATTACGTATGTATCACCAGCGTGGCTGCAGCTATGGTTCGTGCTCAGCACAAGCGTGCTGTGATTAGAAAGTGTCAGGCTGGTGCACTGGGCTGTAGCATTTTCATCCTCATCAATACTTTTTCCTTAAATATCGTCAAATTAGATGTATGCCATGTGAAGACGCTAGTTGCTCTTTGACTGAAATTGTTGCCTTAAGCTTTAATGTTCCCTGGTAGGGAGAGGAAATGCATCTATTGGTCTAATAAAAGGATATTTGAAAAAAAAAAGGGGGGGGACAACTGTTGTGTTGCTGTTTAGACAAACTCAGTTGTAATGTATCAAAGACTTGCTGTTGTATTCAGTAAATTTCGAGTGCCCTAATGATTTTTTTTTTTTATATTGACATTAACCAGTTTTTCAACTCATCCATTTTTTTATTATTAAGTCAGAATTCTTTCACGTTTAGGCAGAATATGCCTTACTACATTTTGGATACTTTTAAAGTAGCAAGTTTCTTTATTTCCGTGAAACATTTGTTTTCCACTTATGCAACCTTGGATCTCATTATAAAGTTTACATGTAAACACTGCACCTTTTTTATAATCCTCTCCCTTTCATAGGTGTAATTAAGCTAATAAATAATTTGATATTATTTTGTTTGTATTTCAGTATTTTTCCTGCTTGTTAAAGTAGTGAATTGTATTTTCATGTATTGTATGATTTTCGTGCATGTTACGCAT